TCATTTTTTTATATATATATTTTATTGATTTTTTACAGAGAGGAAGGGAGAGGGTAAGAGAGTTAGAAACATCGATGAGAGAGAAGCATCAATCAGCCGCCTCCTGCACGCCCCCTACTGGGGATGTGCCCACAGCCAAGGTACATGCCCTTGACTGGAATCGAACCTGGGACCCTCGACTCCGCAGGCCGACGCTCTATCCACTGAGCCAAACCGTCAGGGCAAGCCATTCATTTATGCTTTGTGCACTATTGAATCTTAAACCCAGTAACAAAATTTACAAAAAGAAAAAAAACAGCCAATGGGGACACCATTTTTTCCCAAGTAACAAAAAGGTATTACTTTCCCGTTTATTATTTTGTATAATTATATCAGCCCGCCAAACTTAGTTTCGTGATGTTAGGGGGTTAGGTTTTGGGTGCCAATACAGAAAGGGTTATGGGAAGATATATTTAGCTAATCACACAAGTGCTGTAAGAATGTCAGTGGACGCCATTGTTCCTTAATTATTCATGTCAATGATACTCCTGGACAATATTCAACTTGCAGCAAAAATAAATGGATGTTTTAAGAGGACTTGGTGGAACAATCAAGTCATCAGCCTCAAAAAGTCCCTTCCCTCTCAGCCTGGTCCTCCTGCTGCCTGCCAGAGCTTCAATTCTATATTTATCTTTCCAATCAGCAGTATAGCAATTAGTTATTATAATAAGAGCTACCAATCTATTGTGTGCTGCCTTCATGCCAGGCACTGCATTATCAGAGTTTTTCATACTTTAATTGCCTCATTTCGTTGTCACAACAACCCTGCTGTTTTATTCTGTTTTATAGCTGAGGAAACTGAGGCAGAGGCAGGTGACTGTCCTTGCTGGGCAGTGACAGAGCCAGAGAGCCAGCTGGCGTCTGACCCAGTGTGCTCTGCTGTGTCTCGGGACCTGGAAATACACGACACGTGTAACAGAATTCTGAATCCGAATTGCGGCTCTTCACGAGGTTACTATAGTTACTTCTCTGCATGACGCTCTCCTTTTTTTTGCTGGGTAACAATGGATCCACTGTTAACCACTAAGCTAAGGTGTTGAACCCCCACCATCATCACAAAACTCAAGGGACATTATAATAGGTTTAAAATAACCTTCCTGTCTTTTAACCATGCCTTTTTATTTCAGAAGCTCCCAGAACATGGACAGATCCTGCACTATGGCAGCTTTACAAATATTGTTATGTCCACCTTGCGTTAAACATAGGAGCTCACGAAAGGCGACACAACCATATTTCAGAGCTCTGCAAACTGTGGACAAAAGTGATGCACTTGGGAGGTGGGCTGGTGCATGGGTGCCCCCTCACTAGGTAGATGAGGGGCGTGGGCATCCAGGCAGGAAGACAGCTAGAAAGAGTGGTCTTGAACCTGGAGAGACCCAGTCTAGGAGGGACAGGGCAGGAGGGCAGGAGCTGTGCTGTCTTTGCAGGTGAATTTGGCTCGTGCTAAACTAGCAAACACGTGCAGACAAAGTGGTTTGGATTAGGAATGGGGCAGGACACCCAAGCACTAACATGCACACACATTGCCCAGCATTCAGAGCAGCGAGCTGTCAGGGAGGACGCGAACTCAGGATCTGGAGCCGTCTCTCCTCCTCATGCCAGTTGGCCATGCTATGGCGAGACAGCTTTATTCCCTCTTGACATATGAGGACTCGCCAGGCCTGTGACTTCTCAGATGTGGCACTGAGACACTCCTGGGACTAAAGGCAGAAGCCAGAGCTGCTGATTCCTGGTCAGATCCATTCTCTCTAATTACAGTCATAATGGTGAAGGGGATGATGACATCCAAGGACGACCACAGGGCCTCTCTCTCAACACTGGTGAGAACCAGATTCCTCCCCCTGGCTCTGTAGCTCCCAGCAGAGTTCTGGAAGCTGATTAAAGAGAAGGTCCGAAATAATAGGTAATTAGAAACCTTATAAAAAGGAAAAATGCTCTCGTCAAACTCGCCAAAGCGTCTCCATGGCTGGAAGTGGGGGAGGCACTGGAAACTGCCGGCTGCATGGGCGGCATGTGCCAGAGGCTGGGGCGAGAGTGCAGAGGGGCTGGGGCCGGTCCCAGGACGCAGGGAGTCTGGTTAGCAATGTGTCTCCCAGGCAGGGCCGCCAGGGAGTAAAAGGCTAAGGACCGTCTTTTATCAGACTTAGGAGAACCTCTGCATGGTGAGATCAGGGGCACAAGGACCACAGGGGACTAAGGGGGAGAAAGAGTCACTCACACACACACACACACACACACACACACACACACACACACACACACACACACACGACCCACCACCAAGAGAGGCAGAGTAGGTGGGTTTCTCCACTGGCCAGGTCCTTGGCTGTTCAGAATACTCCAGGAGGGGTACTTGGAAGGAGCTCAGCAAAGTCTTGTGTCCAGATAATCCATGCAGTTAGCCGCTTAGGATCCCTCACCTTCTGGGGTCCCTAGGGACCGTCTCCAACTTGGGAGAGGCTGTGGGAGACCACTGGATGGCCACAGGTGGGCAGATGTAGGCTCAGCTCCAGGTGCTTACACTTCCACAGCTCTCTGAGCAGTGAGTGCAGCCACATCTCCAACCTTTGGGGTTGCCTCCTTACCCAGGGGATCCTCACAGTCTCCAGTCCATGGCAGGAGAGGTGGGGGCGGGGGCTTACACTTCCTCCCTGCTCCCCACAGGGGCTCCCATTTGTATGCTCAAGAAGCTGTTTTGGAAAAATCCTTAAAGGGAC